AGGGTCACTCACTCGGGGCTGCGCCGCTCCGCGCCCCCGCGGGTCCGCTCTGGACTTACCTGCCCCGCCAGGTGAGCCGCCTCCAGCCAGCCCTTCCCCTGCCCCCCCTCGGCACTCACCTGGGTCGCAGGTGAGCGTCTCGCGGGAGCGCGGCACGGGTCGCCGCTGGGGACACACTTCCTGGCTCCGCGAAGCGCTGCCGCGCACCTGGCCGAGGCCCCGCCCAGCCCCGGCCTAGGCAAGGAGAGTGAGGCTCGGAGAGGGGCAGCCAGGCCGCAGTGCTCCGGTTCCCTTAGCTCTGTAGTCCGGTGTCGTGGAAGTCTCTGAGAGGCCATGGAGCGCCTACGGGGCCGCAAAACTCTTACTCAAAGCGTATGGCTCCTGGGAATTCGTCCCTGACCCCTGAGTCCCTAGCTCCGTTATGTGGAATAGTTCTCTGTGCTCTTTATTATAGTCCCCAGCCGGCTGTTTCTTTCTTGTCTTCTGTCTCCTCCTTTTAGCCTCTGACCTTGAGTGTAAGGTCTGGCCTTGTTTCCCTAGTACAGGGCCTGGAGCATACGAAATGCTCAGCAAACAGTCTTCACTGTTTGAATGGCTAGGCAATGGTCCGTTATCAATCTGTTTGTCTCTCTGTCTACGTATTCATTTATTTAAGTTTCTTTTTTACATTAATTTTTTTATACGTATGGATTTCTTGCCTGCATGTACGTCTGTGCAGCACTTGCATGCCTGGTGCATGCACGACTGAGAAGCAGAAAGGGCATGGGATACCCTGGACCTGGAGTTGAGAATCGAAGCTGGGTCTTTGGAACTTGGAAGAGCAGCCAGTGCTCTCGGCAGCTGACCCGCCTTTCCAGCCCCACCTATTTCGGTCTCCCCATCCAACTATAACCAGATTCTATTCCTGCTTAGCTTCCAGAACAGACTAGGCCCGGCGTGTTCTAGGAGGGTATGGCCACGGACTGTTTAGGTTTTTTAGACGTTGTCTCACAGGCTAGCCTCCCGCTCACTAGGTAGTCAACGCTGGCCTTGAACAGTTCCTCCTCCTACTGTCACCCCTGGAATGCTGGGATTCCAGGCCTGCACTGCCGCACCCAACATGGGCTTGGCTTTCTCTCTTTGCTCTGGGACAGTGCTAGGGGCTCCTGGTTGACGGGTCAGCTCACCTGCTGCTCATCAGTGTGTACAAATGTGCGGCTGAAAACCTCAGGGGCAGAGACCCTGTGCCCCAGTATAGTGAAGAAGTTGGTCAGGCTGCGTGGCCCTGAGAACCACGTGGGAGATGAGCGGAGACCAGAAAACACGGTGGCTGCTGCTTTCCCTGGGAAGGCCCCATCAAAGTCTTGCTCTACCCTAACTGCCTGCTCTCCGTAACTGGACAGCAATTCTGGTAGACTTGAACATTAAGGAGGATCATAAAGGTCCATGCTAAGCCCCTCCCTCCTTTGCAGCATTATTCAACCTTCCACTAATCTACAAGATAGAAATCTTGTTCGTGGTAGCCCGGAACTGGAAGCACACAAACACCACTGATGGGACAAAAGAAATGGGGGAAGTATCTGTGAGCGAGGGATTCTCTCTCTCTCTCTCTCTCTCTCTCTCTCTCTCACACACACACACACACACACACACACACACACCATTGCTGATATTTATGCACAGAAAGGAGAAATTGATCAATCAGTTGGCATGAGCTGTTTGACTGACTGACGGGGGAGCACTTTCTGTCTTGCAGTTGCTTCTCTGTAGATGATAGAACTTCTCTAGCCAGACGTGGTGGTGCACTCCTGTAAGCCCAGCTTACTCCTACAAACCCTTGGGAAGGAGGAGGTAGAAGAGTCATGAGTTTCCCGTTAGCTGGGGATATATACACAGCAAGACCTTGTCACAAAAACCAAACCACAACCAAGACATAAGAAGGTACCTTTGGGGACTGGAAAGGTGGCTCAACAGTTAAAATCGTTGATTGCTCTTCCAAAGGACCCAGGTTCAATTCCTGGAACCCACATGACAGCTCACAACTGTCTATAACTCCAGTTTCAGAGGATCTGACACCCTTATACAGGCAAAACACCAATGCTCATGAAATAAAATTAAATAAATTTTAAAAACTCTTTAAAAGATAAAAGAAAAAGAAGGTACTTCTGGTACCTGTGTGTGGGGCATAGTGATGCACACCTTTCTCGCCAGCACTCCAGAGGCAGAAAGAGGCAGATCTCTGTGCATTCCAGGTCAGGTCAGCCTGGTCTGCGTAGTGAGTTCCAGAACAGGCAGGGTTATATAGAGAGACCCTGCCTCAAATAGATAGATAGATAGATAGATAGATAGATAGATAGATAGATAGATAGATAGATAGATA